TGTCTAACAATCGTTGTGAAATTTTAAAACTGTTTCAACAAGGAAATCACCAATGCGACATTGTTTGTTTGCTTGGCATACCAAAAAAAACGGTCTCTGACGCTATCCGGCGATTTAATGAGCTTGGCCATGAAGGTGACCGTCCTAGACGAGGCAGACCATGTACAGCTAACACTTGCAGAATTCGCCAGATAGTGAAAAAGCGGATCACTCGCAATTGCAGAGTCTCGGTCAGAAAAATAGCCCGTGAAATCGGAGTGAATCGAGAAAGTGTTCGGTTGATAGCAAAAAATGAACTTAATCTCAAGCCCTACAAGCTCCAAAAAATGCATCTTCTTACGGATGACAATAAGCGCGTGAGACTCCAAAGATGCCGTCAGCTAAAGCGTCGGGCCGCAGGTCAAAAATGGGAGCGTATTCTTTTCACGGACGAGAAGATATTCACCATCCAAAAGGCGCACAATCACCAAAATGACAGAAGCTGGTCTGCTAAAGCTCCAGGTACCTCTGCAATAATCGAGCGCCGTCAATGTGAGCAGTCTTGAATGGTTTGGGGAGGAATATGCGCCACTGGCAAAACACCCCTTGTTTTCATCGATCAAGGGGTCAAAATCAATCAGGAAGTGTACCGCCGGGACATTTTGGAAACTGTTGTGCTTCCTTGGGCCCAGCAGCACTTCGGTGATACGGAGTGGACGTTTCAACAGGATTTAGCGTCAGCCCATAGAGCCAAATTGACTCAGGACTGGTTCAAAGCCAATTTCCCGGACTTTATCACATGCTGTGAATGGTCACCTTACTCGCCAGATCTTAATCCGATGGACTAGAGTGTGTGGTCTATTTTGGAGTCCAGGGCATGTGCTTAACGCCACATAAGTTTGGAGGCGCTGAAGCAATCATTGCTCCGAGAACGGGATCGATTATCGGAAGAAGACCTGCGGCCCATTGCGCAAAATTTTCAGAAACGTTTAGGGCTCTGCATCGCAGCCCAAGGAAGCCACTTCGAAACCGGCTGAATACATGTTAACACAATACCTATTTAATAGTTGTGTATCTGTATTTTTTCTCAAATACAGTTCCTTAAAAAGTTATGATCAAAAATGTTTGTCCGGGTTATTTATTGTCACCCTGTAATAGTTATATAAATATTATATCGATATCGTATTAATAAAAAAAAAATTTTCTAATGTTTTCCATGGTTAGCTTATTTTTAGTTTTTTTTTTTTTAATTTTTAGCTTATTCTAGCTTATTTTTTTCTTCAATCTAGCTTATTTTATCCCTCAAAATCTGGCAGCACTGCTGTGTACATACCTTTTTTTAGCCTTTTTCTATTTTTCTTTAGAAACTCGCTACTTAGGAACTTACAGGGCAGTGTAAAAAAAAGTATCCGGTTACCCAAAAATTTTGGGTAATCCGAGGTATGCGAAAAGACGCTGCTGCATAATAGTTTCGGGTAATAAGTGTCACTTAAAATAGCATTAAAACTTACTTAAAGGTTCAATAAAATCGTAATTTTTCTCAGCCTTTAACTTTGTAGCCTGTATTATATTTATTAAAAACGTTACTTTTTTCGTTTATAGATCTCAAGCTGTAAAGCTAAAATCATCACTTCACTGTCCTTCATATAAAACACATAGATGAGCCCTAGCATATTTTTTTCTGCTTTGACAAAATTACCAACACTACCACAATACATTGGTAGGATTCTGATGCATTATTATTATTTTTATGAATAGCAGAAAGTAGGCTGCGAGCGTGAATTTTGTTCGTTTATACTGTGTGTGTTGGGCAGAATTCTGGCACTAAAGTTTGCTCTGGCTAGTTTTTTTTATATATCGGTTGTGCTACCCTGCTGGTGCTCTTAGAGGATATTCGGTGAGAGAGATCCTTTTGGTGGTCTTAGTGCAGGAGCATCACACTGAGGACGTTGGTAAAATAGATCCCATTATATCACATTAAGAATATTCGGTTGAAGTATCACGTTATAGTACCATGCAACTGCACAATTAACCTTGAGCTATAGTGGCGGGTAACAGCGCTAATGATAATTAAATGCTAATGATACAGCTATATACGGTTGTTGTCAATGGTAAATATTGCTTGCTCTATTAATCAGTCATTACGCGGTCTGGTGAAGCTTGCCAACTCGATCAGGCATTCGCCGACTTCGGTTGCCAATAAGTTAAACATATTTGTTGGGGATGTTTATCTTGGCATTAGGTGCCACTGATTTTTCAAACACTAGGTATAATTGATTTTTGAAAGTCCTTTTAGTCAACAAAACACAGTTGCAAATTTAAAGTTATGAGTCCTCTTAGAATTAGATATACATTCTGACTGCTTTATTACATAAAGGGGGGTTTCTACCTTTGCCCCAAAAGCTGCTGTTTTTATACCCTTGCAGAGGGTATTATAATTTTGGTCTGAGATGTGCAACGCAGTGAAGGAGACATCTCCGACCCTATAAAGTATATATATTCTGTATCAGGATCACCTCCTGAGTTTATATAAGCATGACCGTCTGTCTGTCCGCCTGTCTGACCATCTGTATGTTTCTATGTAAAGTAGTCTCACAGTTTGAAAACTATCGACTTTAAACTTTGCACACGCCCTTCTTTATTTTGCACGCAGTTTATAAGTCGGAACGGCCGAGATTGGCCGAGTATATCCTATAGCTAACATATAACTGATTGATCGGAAATGCTTTAACATTCTTGATTTTTGAGTTAGAGAGTTCGAATTTTTCATGAAAGCTATATTTGGCAAAATAATACGACATACCAAAAGATAGGATTGGTTAACTACATTCTATAGCTGCCATATAACTGAACAATCGGAAATGTCCCAACTTTGTACAGATTTTATTTTTGGTTCGGTAATCCGACCTACCAAATTTCATAACGATCGGCTGACTATCTCATATAGCTGGCCTATAACTGAACGATAGGAAATGGTATTTGATAAAAATACCAACTTCAGTATTTTTGAAGGTAGAAGCTTGACACTTTTTTGTAGCTTTATTGTAATAAAATGGTTAAATTATGATGTTCTCACAAGGATCGACCAACTATATCCGATGTTTCTGGCTTTACTTGTATGGTATATCAACTTCGTTTCCGCCGAAGTTAGCTTTCCTTTCTTGTTATACCTTTGTATAACCTTGTTTGTATACATCGTGTGCTCGAGAAACGAAATTGTTCGTTTAACGGAATTTTTTTATTGCGCATTAGTTTTCGCAATAGTGGGTTGACTGCAGAATGTGAGTTATTGTGCGAATTTTGAAGAACGTGTTCGGTTGATTGAATTGTGATGTGTAAAATAATTATTTAATTTAATTATTTAATTATTTATTATTTATTTATTTATTATAATTATAATTTAATAAATAGAAAACCACGCTAACTTTTAAAAATTTATTCTATAAAAAAATTTCTGATTATTTTCCGTTATTTTTATTTACCATAGGAATTATGAGTTCAGACGATGACTATATACAAAATTCGCGAAGAAAAATTCGTAGAATATATTCATTATCGAAGTCGGAAAATGAGGATTCAGAAGATCAGCAAGATTGGAGTCGTGTTATAACAGATTCTGCGCTCTTTGAAGAATATAATGAAGAACACATTGTACTTCAAGAAATAGATTATGAAAATCCGTTTTCAATCTATAAATTATTTCTAAGTGATGATATAATTGACCTTATGGTATTAGAACCAAACAAATTTTGATGACTCAAATTTTAATGATTTTAAATGACTTATTCTGATTATCATTCTTATTTTCATTTATTATTATTATTTTGATTTTAGACACTAAGTTTGAAGAATTATTATTTTTACTTTTGAAAATAACTGAATAATTAAATTTTGTTTTGCTTCAGAAAGAACTGTAAAAATAAATTTTGTTTATGTTGAAAACGCCTACAAAAAATATAAATTTATCATTCCAATCTATTTTGTTTTATTTCCTTCCAGTATGGGTTTTCAAGTATGTATATTTCTAGTATAGTTTTTGAATTAAAAGTAAGAATATTTGTGTACCACCGGTGGTACACAGACAAGTTCATTTATCTGGCGTCGTGTACCGACGCCGACCTATTAAATTTCATAACGATCGGCCAACTATATCTTATAGCTGCCATAAAACTGAACGATCGGAAATGGTTTTTGGTAGAAATACCAACTTAGGTATTTTTGAAGATAGAAGCTTGGGACTTTTTATAGATAATTTATTGTAATTAATTGGTTTTATAATGATATTCTTATAAGGATCGGCCAACTATATCCGATGCTTGCGATATATATCCGGTTTTAGCTGCAAGGGTATATAAACTTCGGCTCCGGATGAAGTCAGAAATCAGACGATAAAGGTCACTTCGTTTTTTTACACAAAAATATAGAGAACAAATGTGTTTTTTGAGAAACATAAGTTAAAAGTCGTGTAAAATTATTTTTCAATATTTTTCAAAATTTTTACTACGGGCCATAGCCCCAGGCACACAGTAAAAAATGCTTTTTGGTTTTATGGTTTCAGATTACCCAGTTTGCCGAAATCGGGATAGCCAGCGGAGATTTTGTGTTTTAATACTGTACTTCATCGCGCTAAAACTTCATAAATTTTTATTTTTTTCGCTCAAAAAATTTATGAATATTCATGAACACATAACAAATATATGATAAACAATTTGATAAACAAGTAGACAAAAGTTCTCAAAAAACAGTTAGAAAAACGGCTTCTAGACGGGATAACCTTACCAACACAAGGTGTTTTCTTTTGAATGTATTGAAATTTGCTGCGTCGTAAGCTGCGTTTGGGCACCCCTGCTTTAAAGATTAATATAGTTAAATTGTGGGTGGAAAAGATGAGTACCGGGAATAATACTATATATTCGGAAATTCGGAAGGTGGAAACTCTCCTTAAATGAACTATAGTTACCAATAAAAAAAAACAAAAAAACTATATCTTCTTGGGGTATAAAACGCACAACAATACTTACTTTTGAAAACAATCACGAATCAGTTTAAAGTTCTGGGTTATCTTATTCACAAGAGCTCCTAAGCAGGACACGCAACTAGTAACTTCAGCTTGGTTTCGCGAAACAACCAGTAACATCAAATGTTCCTCCAGAGAAGCCAAAAATGATTCACTAGCATTGTTAACAAGAGGGACCACTTTTTCAAGAATATCTGCAACCGCACATATAAATTTCGCAGCAGTCGCTGAATGACACTTTATATTCAGATAAGGCTCTATAGTCATAGCATGTCGAACAAGCAATTGCGGTCGAACTTTTGCTAGTAAATGGAGTGTGGTTATACAACCAAGCATTCTTGCATTATCAGTATCCTCCAGTTCAATTAATCGATCAACAAGCCCGTCAGCCAATTGCTGACAAGCTAGCATAATTTCCGGTGCGGGCTCAGTATTTTTCTTTACAGGTTCATTTACGCTCCCATCAGATTTTGACATATTTTCTTTTGGTTTGAAAATCTGTAAAAAAGGATGCATAAAAAAATCAATTAATTATTAAATATATTTTTATATCTAATAAGATGGCCAAACTCCGTTAAAGGGCAAAGTTTTTAAATTTTTTCTTTTAGAAAAATCCAAAGTGACAATTATTTGTATTAATTCTTTCGTATATAAGAATTAACTGATTCAACTGATTTGACTGGCCAAATTGGATAATCAAACGGGTTATTTAAGAAAAAAACGTCAATAGTATTGACAAATTAAATGGTATAATATTTATAATATTTAATTTGTCAATACTATTGACTTTTTTTTCTTAAATAACCCGTTTGATTATCCAATTTGGCCAGTCAAATCAGTTGAATTAGTTAATAAAACTAGTTTTAGTTAGGTAAAAAAAATAGATCGATTTCAAATGACTCCCACAAAGGATTCAATTTAGGTACGAGTCATCGTGGCTGTAAAAAAATAAAAAAGTTCTATCAACTGAATAAGCAAGCTTAAAAAAAAGAAAGTTATTTTCCGTTTTTTTATTAGACAATTAGGTTTGAGACTCCCTGTCAAAAAGGAAAAAACTTACTGATTCCTTGATTTTCCATAATTCTACAAGACACATCTTATTAATTTAAAATATTTTAGTTTTTATTTTGATTGGCATTAAAAAAAAACAAATACATAAAGGTCAGAGCCAATCTTTTAAAAAATTTTGCTTACATTTAGAACAGAGGTCGGCATCCCTATCTCGGGGGCATAGGAAATTTCTCTGCCCAAGCTCTGCCACACACACACAGTATGCATGTGTGAAACGTCATGCTTACAGCCTACTTTCTGCTATTCGTTACTAACACTAATGCGGTAAAATCATATCAATGTATTGGGGTGCCGACCACTGATTTAGAAGTAAAATTTCCTCTCATACAGAAAATTATATGTTACGTCACAACGTGAAAGGAAATGAACACCCTCTATGGTAAATTTAAGACAAAATCATAGCTACCAAATAACTCTCATGCGATAAATATGCGGCCTTCGCACAACCAAAAAATAGATGAAAGTTTTCTCTCCCTCTGAGCAGCAGCTGAGAGTTTCATCTTATGCTCATTTAAAGATGATTTATAGAAAGAAATTCCACTTACCGTTCGCAAATTAAGATTCAGTAGAAACCGACTCTTAATTTAAGCAATAAACGGTGTTTTGTTTTTATTGTGTTTTGGTTGGTGTTCAGTGGTTTATTATTTTCCTGTCATTGGGAAAAAGCTTGTGAAATAGAACTTTATAGAATATTTATAAGGGCAATATATTTATTTATTATTTATCTGGAAAATCAAGAGAGAATTCAATATTACCGCACTGCTCAAATGGTCCCAAAACAACAGTCATTCTTAGACTATAAGTTATTGAGAAAGAGTTGGTACACTGAAAAAAAAATTATAGTAACACTCACAAGGAGTTTAAAAAAATATCAGCATAATAAAAAATAAATGTTAAATATTTGATAGTTAAAAAAAACCCTCTATTTTTTAAAACAGCCTATTATTTTTCTATGTCAAATAATGTATAGTTTCTTACCTAACAAGAAAGCAAAGCTAACTTCGGGCGGAGCCGAAGTTGATATACCCTTGCAGTTAAAACCGGATATATATCGCAAACATCGGATATAGTTGGCCGATCCTTATGATTACATCATAATAAAACCAATTAATTACAATAAAAAATCTAAAAAAAAACGTCCCAAGCTTCTTTCTTCAAAAAACCAAAGTTGATGTTTCTACCAAATACCATTTCCGATCGTTCAGTTATATGGCAGCTATAGGATATAGTTGGCCGATCCTTATGAAATTGCGTAGGTCGGATTATCTGACCAAAAATATAATCAGTACTAAGTTCCACCTTTTTATCTTCAAAAACACGAAAGTTGGGTCATTTCCGATCAATCAGTTATATGGCAGCTAAAGGATATAGTCGGCCGATCCTTATGAAATTTGGCATTTCGTAATGTTTTGCCAAAATTGCTCTCATGTCAAATTTGAACTCTCTAACTCTAAAAACACCAAAGTTATACCATTTCCGATCAATCAGTTATATGGCAGCTATAGGATATAGTCGGCCGTTCCCGGCCGTTCCGACTTAAATACTGCGTGAAAAAGAAAGAAGGGTGTGTACAAAGTTTCAAGACGATAGCTTTAAAACTGAGAGACTAATTCGCGTAGAAACAGACAGACGGACATGCTCATATAACTCAGGAGGTGATCCTGATCAAGAATATATATATTTTATAGGGTCGGAGATGTCTCCTTCACTGCGTTGCACACTTTTGACCAAAATTATAATACCCTCTGCAAGTGTATAAAAAATTCAAGTCAACAAGTTTTTTCATTTGAAAAGAAGAAAAAAATCGAGCTTCCTTAAAGATTGAGGGGCCATTGACACATATTCAAAATTTGTAGTAAAATTGTTTTTGCATCTCCCGCTTCCGTGCGGACCATTGATCACCTGCATTTGCCCTCATTCGTCTTCTCACACATCCGATCGACTTCTTTCGGCTACAAAGTGTCCATGTAAACTTTACATCTAAATTAATAGTAATAGTAATCATGACGTTTATTTCTATACATCATATTTCTATATTTCTTGACGTATCTCAAGCCTTCGACCGAGTTAAACTTAATGGACTCATGCACAAAATTAAAGCTCGTTTTCGAACATACACTCACAAGCTACTTCAGTCGCACCTCTACAATAGAATATTCTCAGTGAGATGCAACGCAGCAACTTCGGGCGACTATATAATTAAAGCTGGAGTTCCTGACTGAAATGCCCAATCCGAGCAACAAATCAACCGTTGAATATTGTTTTATAGTAGAAGTGTCTGTCTGACTAGCGTACTAAAAAAACGAACAAATATTTAACCTTTTACCGTTTACTCTTGATAGGCAAACATTCCTATATGTGTTCCATCTTGAGCCGTTCCATTAGTGTCCCGGCTCCTGTACAGAGACTCTCGCAATCAAGCTTTTCGTGCCCAAGAAACAGTTTATATTTTAACACATGTATATATCGAATCTGATAAACATTGTAAATATCGGTTCTTGAGGTTCTTCGTATTGCTTTAAATTGTCCGCAACTTTTCAACTGTCCAATGATGAGTGCTGGATTCCTTTAATTGTATCAAAAGAACTACATAGTTTACCATTAATGAGTAATATAAGTTATTTTTTTTACTAAAAACCAACATCTTTTTTAATTTATTTCTCTATTTCAGTGGTGGCCAAAGTTTTTTATTTCATTTTTCATTAATTGAAAAGTTTGAATGGGCACTAAAACAGTGCATTTCTTTAGTGCAAAATTTACGCGTCCTAATGTTGTTGTTTTTATGGAGGAAATTTGATCCAACCAAATTTCTGACCAAATTTTTATTAGTGAAAATATTTTTTTTTTTAAGTTTTGGGCTGTCAAGTGAGGCAAAATGTGAGCAAATGAGTGAGCTTCTAAAATAATTTTTGAGTGCTCACACTGTCAGTGTGCCAGCAGCGCTGCGAGAAAAATCCCACCACTGGTCTAGAATTGTTTTCTCTACAATTCATTTCATAGTTCGAAGTATCAAATTTTATTTAACATACTCTCACAGCCTTGGTGTATATGGTAAATATATCGTGTACCCATAATTTTTCGTAAAATAAAACAAATATCTGGTAGCTTTGTTTGTGGAAGTGATAGTTTCGTATTCGATAGCTTAAAAACGGATCGTTTAAGAGCAGGGACCGTAATCATTATGAGTTTTATTTTAAAAATCACAAAATAATCATTATTTTTTGAGCGAAAAAATAAAAATCAGAAAATATCCTTATTCTATGATCGAAAAATAAAAATCACAAAATAATCATTATTCTATGATCAAAACATAAAAATAATGAAAAATCATTATTTTTGATTTTAATTTTTTTTCGCTCAAAATTATCTCTCAATTCAGGATTTCGTACCATGATTTTTTTAATAACCTTTAATAGCCTTACCAACAGCCAGAATAAAAATCATAACAATTATCATTATTTACGGTCCCGGTTTAAAAGCCTTTTTTTAATATTTTGTTAAACTTTTTTAAGGGGTTATACAACGAAAATGGACGATAAAATTTGCGACAGGCCCCAGCAGACGCCAGACGGCATCTTACTTTTTTCTTACGCTCATATTGTCATTGAAAGTTTTCTGTTTTTCAGTTTGCGCTTGGTTGGTCTGCGCCAAAATTGATCTTTGTAGGTATATGTGTTCACACATTCACATACACCGTTGCATGTGTACGTGCGATTTCGTTTCGAAGCCAGTACACATTTTTTTGAATTGTGCAACTTTTTAGGCCTGCTACCTTAAGAAAATATGTGTATTCATTATTGGGTTAAGAATGAAAGAAATTATATTATTTGTTGTATTATATTTTTAATATTATAGAGTACATTTTATATTTGTTCAGAAATTCAATTAAGTGGTAGCAGTAAAAGGTTTTTCATATACATACATATTTTTACGAACCAATAAAAATAAATATACTGACATAAAAAAAGATTCAATCGACGTCACTTGAAATTTCGACTGCTTTTAAGTTATTGTTATTGAATATAAACTCTTCCCAGTCTCTAACGAAGACCTCATGGTAACTCATCCCCTGTTTTAAGAAGCCTTACATGGGCGTCGCGGATCTCTGCCCGGATAGAACTATCTTTTCTCTGTAGCTCGTGGGAACACTTATGAAGAATTCAAGTAATAATAAAAAAAAGGAGTCGGGATCTCTAAAAAAAACCCAACCCAATACCCGAGACATCGACGAGTGAGTCCGGTCAACATGGCAGGGAAGATGGCGAGTGAGCCTTCCTGTCAAGCCAAAAGCGATAATCCGATTCCTGCAGGGCCCCGCCCGAAATTGGGGGTGGCTGGTGGAAAGCGAAGAAAAGAACCGCAGGGCAAATACTTCGAAGCCACAAGCGAGCTTAGACGACAAAGAGCTCCGAAGAGTGTCTCAAAAG